AGACGACTTCTCAGTCGGCATCATGACCTAGTCACCTAGGCACAACGACTTCTCAGTCAGAATAAAGTCATTGGTACCGAATCTGGGTAAAACCAAGACAAAGCGACTTCTTAGTCGGCATCAAGACCTAGTCACCTAGGCATCACGAATTCTCAATTGGCATCAAGACCTAGTCACCTAGGCACAACGACTTCTCAGTCGGAATAAAACCCTTAGTACCGAATCTAGGTAAAACCAAGGCAAAACGACTTCTTAGTCGGCACCAAGACCTAGTCAGCTAGGCGTAACGACTTCTCAGTCGGAATAAAGCCCTTGGTACCGAATCTGGGTAAAACCAAGGTAAAACGACTTCTCAGTCAGCACTAAGACCTAGTCACCTATGCACAACGACTTCTCAGTCGGAACAAAGCCCTTGGCTCTTCCTAAAGAATAAGTCCAAGGTAAAATGACTTCTCAGTCGGAACAAAGCCTTTGACTCTTCCTAAAGAATAAGTCCAAGGCAAAACGACTTCTCAGTCGGAACAAAGCCCTTGACTCTTCCTAAAGAATAAGTCTAAGGCACAAAACGACTTCTCAGTCGGAACAAAGCACTTGGCTCCCTATCAGGAGTAACCTAAAGTACAAAGGCTCCACAATTCAGCAATCAAGTCTACGGTCCCCCACCTAGATAAACCGAAGACAACCCCAGAGTCGACTCTTTGAGTTATCTCCCGACCAAACAGGAAAAACAAAAATGTCCCCACTTATCCCGCATAGGGTATCAAAGCTACAAGGATCAACGCTCTTCTCAAAAAGAAAAATGGAGCCACAACATAAATTAGTTATTCTATCAAGCATTTTCAGTTCTCAAAAACAGGAGACAGAAGAAATCGCTTCTCATTCAGAAAAGGAGTTTTTGTACATTCTTTACCAAAAGGCCTAACAAGGCTTACAAAAAAAATTCTAAGGCTCAGCGCCACTGTCCCCGGAGTCCTTCCTCATTTTCTTCAACGGCCTCCTAGAAGAACTCGGTCCCTCCGAGTCAGCCCTTCTTTTACAGACCTCCATTGATAGAGGAAGGACCGTCGCTTCGGGATCAGAGGAGGACCAACCCATCTCAGGAGACTCCTCTCTGTCCAGAGTTTTGATCTCCTGAAGACTAAGGCGACACCGGAACTTCTCAAGATCTCCAGCCGCGGGATCAATAAGGGCCCTTGGCTCCAACACATTATCCTGCACCTCGGGCCAACCCAGACAAGATAGTATGTTGTCGGCACCGAACATCCAGATGAAGAACCTCTTCCATTCTTCGTCTAGCTCGGGGATATCGAAGTCCAAGCGAAAATCACCCCGACAGCGAAAAAAATAGTGTGGGTAGCCCTCAGCAGACCCCACACTAAACACGTGCCCAAGCAAACTAATGTCGGGCACCATGTCTGCCTTGGAGCAGACATCTATAAACACCATCAAGATATAGATGGCATGGGGATGAAACTGGCAGGGGAAAACCCCCAAAGCCGTAAAGACTTCCCTTACAAAGGGATGCAATGGCAGGCACAACCCACACTGCAGATGCGCCCAATAAAGAGGCACCCGGTCCTCATCGTGCATATGCATCGGAGTCGAGCTGTCCGGCACCCCTATGGTCATCGTCGCACGTGAAATGCCATACTAATCATGCAACCAGTTGGCCTTGTCCAGAGTCCTCCTCGACCTAGATAGAGACAAGACTCTGAGTTTCTTCTCGCGGTCATTCTGTGGAAGAGCCATGATAAAATCTCTTGAGGAGTCAAGGGATCGAGTGTTCTCTTAAAACAACACCAGAGACTATTTATAAGCTTCTAAAGAAGCATGTAGAGCCTAAAAGGCACAGCCTTAGAGCAACCAAGGAAGATTCACTTTGAGAATCGGAACGGATTGCTTGAAACATCAACCATCGCTCGTAATTCACGCTAATAAATCGGCAAGAGAGGCGTCATTTACTCTGCCCACAACGCCTCGTTTTCCCTAAAAATTTGGTTCCCAAAACCGACAGCCTCAGTCTATAAAAGATTGGCGTTTAAGTGCATTCCACGCCACGTTTCTAAGCCACGATCAACTAGCTAGAAAATCTCGAACACACTGAGCAAACTCATTTCTATTTCACTCGGACCCGACCAAAATCAACTCCGACTGAAAGGGGCCAACTGTTATGGTCAGTCACCATACTAAGATAGAAATATCGGGAGAATGTCTGCATAAGCCCAAGAGAGCTATGGTCCAAATCAACTTAGAGGCTCAAAAGCCCAGTCAAGGCCAAGTCCCTCGACCAGACGAGCAGACAAGCCATATTTCGATCAACAAGTCATCATGACCAACTCGAAGTGCGGGATCAGTCGCCCCCTCGCAATTAAGAAGACTCCTCAAGCAGACGACTCGACTATACACCCGACCCGAAGCCCACTCGACTATCGGGTCGCCAAATCATAATGATGGCTCACAGATCAACCCGCCTCGACTAAAGGGATAAGAGCCGACCAAGTTCACTTCAAATGTCAATCGACACAACAGTACTGATTAGTTCCATCAAGATCTCTATTCTGACAACCCTCATGCCCCAGCCACTTATTCGGCTTACAAGTCATTTCCCAGAAGATTGCCATGATGCTTTCCTGTACACGAATGACTTCTCTTCCAATCGCCATCCGCCACCTGGAGAGAGAAGGACGGCCACGCCGCCGACCTATCCTACGTCCTGCCACTTCTGACAAACCCAGGGTACTGAGAAGACAATTCTCTCCCGTATTCGAATGACTTCTCTTCCTATCGCCAGCCGACATCTGGAAGGAGAATGATGACTCAGCAATCTATCTGCTCACTCTGCAACCGCCCTCCTGTGCAAGAGAAAAATCCAAAAATCTCAGAGGCTATGGACTATATAAAGAAGGTAGGAAGGGTAAGGGCGGGGAGGCTGCTCTTTGCTTCTTCTTACACCTTAGCTTTACTCCCCTTTGGGATCTTCTTTTTACATAAAGAGCGTTTAATAACTTAGAGAGGACCCCCTGCAAGGACTTCAATGGCCCAGGGACCTCTCAAAAAACCTTCCTCAAGTTCACCAACTGACTTGACCGTCGGAGGTACCACAGGGGAAACTAGCCCCGTATTCCTGCGATTCTTGCATGTGCAGGCTATCAGTTCACCCCGCGCGCTCAGAATCAGGCATAGAGTCGGAAGAGTAGTCGGCCCCAACATTCATCCTCTCCTTCTTCCCTCTCGTCGCCAGGATCGAAACTGCATCCGACTGCGGGAACCCCCAATCGACTGTTTGTTCACGAGCATCAACAGGCTGGAACCGACCAAACCCATAACCTACCTAGGGCGGGGCGGGGCGGGCCAGGCCCATAGCCCACGGGTCGTGGGTCGGCCTGTAGATTTTTAAATTTTTTTCTATTTTTTATTTTTAAATTCTAAACTATATTTAATCTTGTATTTGTATCAATTAAATTATATTTAAATTATTTTTCTATTTTACTCTTTATTTAAAATGATATATATACATACACACACATTGTACAAAGACAAACATCATACAGAAAAACATCGCAAACACAAAGATATATGTGGTTCGGACTTCGAAGGAAGACATACATACGTCCACAGAAAGTTAATAACTTTTCTTTAGTTTAAATTTAAATTACAAATAGAAGAGGGAAAAATGTTAACTAAAAATCAATAATTAAAATTCCGAGTCAGACAGGGACGGGTGGGTCGATGGTGGGCCAGGTTAAGGTGGGTCGAGCCTATTTCTCCAGTCCCAGGTCTAAAGATGGACCTAGCCCAGCTCGTGACCCGCGTATACGGGCCGGGGTCGGGGTCGAGCCCTGCCCATAATAGGTCAGGGCGGGTCGTGACCCATAGTGGGCTGGGCTAGGTCAACTCCTGAGCCCACGGATCGACCTGACCCGCACCCCACCCTATTTGGGGGTAGGAGATTGTGGGTGTCCTTGCGATTGATGTTGAGCTATTTACGAGTTTGGTCCTTATATTGTGACTCAGGCTTTTGCCCTCCTTGGTAGGGTTGGGTTAACCCTTCGGCTGACACAGCCCAGCTCGCCATTACTCATGATCCGGCTGGACCCATCGTGGTCCGAACTCGATCAGATCTATGATATACCTGGGTTATGGGACGGGTTGGGTCCAGCCCTAGACCCGGGGTCAGAGAAGTAGGCATTGTCCATACTGACCCGGCCCACAACCGACTCGACCCACCCCAACCATGTTATATTTTTTTGGTTAGGCTAGCTATTCTTTTAGCTCTTTAGGTACAACTTGCTGCCAACAAAGCCAAAAGGCAATAGGTCTTTGGCTCATGAGCCTTTTAGCCTATTGAGAAACAAAACAATGATCTTGAAGCTCGCTGTTGTCTACTTAGAATAACTAAAAAGTTTAATACAAGTTTAGAAATAGTTTAATATAAATTTAAATTACTAAAAAAGAAATTAGAAATAATTTTATAATTTTTAAATAAATTTTAGTATAACTAAAAATGTCAAAAAGGATAAAAAAAAAGTTGGACAAAAAATCCATGAGCCAGCCAACAACCCATGGGCTGGATCAAACCCGACCTGTAACTAGGTGCGTCGTGGGCCAAGCTAGGTCCAGTCCTAACCCAGGGATCGGAGAAGTAGGCCTAACGCACTCTGGCCTGGACAGGCTCAGGTCAAGCTCGGCCCGATCTTGAACCCAACAAGCCGACTCATGGGCCTGAAGCGGCTCAGCCCACACTCACCCCGTCTCCTTGCTGTCCCCAGATGATAAAGGACATATTTGATTGGAATGTGACGTGTAAATTTGATTCATAAAAGTTGATTGTCATGTGATTAGTGAGTGGTCAGAGGAGGCACTAGCATCGATCGTTGAGTCCAAGTTCTCATCATCCATGAGAAAGCTATTAGAATTGCAATAGAGAGTACGAATCCTATCATATCAGAACTACCAGCTAGTTTATAAATTTAACTAAATTTAAACTACTATTGTACATATCAAGAAACAACAATGCGGAGCTACCCTTCATCAATTGCAATCAAAATTTATCAGTCATCAAACATTTTCGTTTTTCATACTACAGAATAGTTTGTAGTCTAAGTATCACTACTTTTCCGATATGCGAAAATTTTGCAGCTGAAGAAAGTATGCTTATCTTAATTTACTCCCGTTACTTGAACATAAAACGAAGTTTCATATATCATTCCACCAAGAAAAACGGTTCTTTTCATCAGTAGTTCCCATTTTCATCATAGTATACTTACAATTCGCTTCGGATGAGCTGAGGTAAGGGTTTAGGGGGTTACTGAAGGGGGATGGCTCAAGAAGGGAACATCAACCAGAGTCCCCAAAACATCACCAATGCAAACTTGTTCGCCGAGACCAACTTGCTTTTTGACATAGCCCAGCCCAAGATGCTCACCTTCTTCTCTTCCAATTGAATAGCTTGTGAGCACCCCAACCTGTGTTTGGTCGGACAGAACTTCATGATTAACTTTTGGTCTATAATACAATTAAGAGTTAATTGCAGATACACCCCTTATCCTATAGGGTTGTTAGCTACTTATTACCTCTAAACAATTTTATTAGCACCTAGAATATATCTTCATTATATGTACTTGTACTTCAGGGGCTGTAAAGAGAATAGGTCCTTTCGCTAGGGGATGTCTCTGCAACACAGTGACATCACGTGACAACCACTTGATAGATACAGATAGCAGGAAGGTAAATTCCAGTGTGGGCATCAGAGGCGTAAGTGTTAAAAAGGAAGTTTTAGGGGTAATAAGTGGCTAACCGTTTGTGACGTAAGGGATGTATATGCAATTAACCCCAAGTTTATCAGCAGAAAAATAATGATCAATCAGGCAACTAACATATGCACCTTTTTTCCATCTTCTACAATCGTAATGGAGCTGCCAGGTTCAGCTGCGCCTGAAAGCTTGATTCCCCAGAGCTTCTGCTTGACACCTCCATACGTTATTAGCCTGGCTATTGTCTCTTGCCCTTTATAACACCCTTAAGTGAGGAAAATGAACAAACAATATGTAAGCTGATTAAGTAATACTTTATACGAGTTTGTAGATAATATTTTTCAAAGAATGGTTGGAAGGAATATACTATAAAAATGAAACAAAAAAGGTACCTACCTTTATCTAAAGAGACTGCATCCCAGAGGCCAGCCTCTAGTACATTAAAGTCGTGAGTAAGCTCCTTGCCAGGGGCGGGCCTTCCTGTATGTGAACAAAAAGTTCTCCCTTTGTTAATAACTATATTCTCATATGTGCCTTTCTTCCCAAAAAATTAAAGTGCGAATATGTATAATTTTAACTTGAAAGCTGTTGAAATTCATGACTGTGACTTAAAGCCATTGAAATTCATAATTGTACTAGAACGAAACATAAGTTCAACAAGTACAACATGGAATTGACCATCTGGCATCTGTATCCTCCTATACTCACATTTTTGTTTACAACTTTTAATGTCGTGACCCGAATAAATTAGGGAGCACTAAGAGTTCATTCTCCTACCCTATTATTTAGCAGCATCCACCTTTTTTGTTTTCTTTTTCTTATCTTACCGGAGCGGCAGTCGGACACAAATGTTATAATGAAATGCCCTCACGTCATAGTAAGGGCAACATTCTGAATCTGTGGCAACAAACACAAATGGATGCTGAAATGCAGCAACCTTTGGCTCTGTCATTGATACAGTAAAGTTCTGTACATACTGGTACCTCCGCTGTATACATGTGAATCAGACGCATATATCTGAGATAGAATACAGAAAGCTTGACTCTACACAATGCTATTTGACTCTTATTATACTTCAGGTTCCTAAAGCAAAACCTATCATCTCCATCTTTTCACATTATGCATATGAGTGGTTCTCTCTGTGTGTATATGTGTGTGCGCAAGAGTAATATGTGCGCGCTTCTGTTTGCCATTGTGTGGGTATGGCAGTATGGCAGTGTCCCTATGCACGCGTGTGCCCATATAATATGGATAAGTTAAACGTCAACTTACACGAGTAGTCAAATCTATTAGATGACCCGTCAAAAGTATAGGTTGAAATTTGGAAAAAAACAATAAACATGTGGAAGTATAATCTTTAATTACAGGGGTTTTTGCTTATAAACCCAATCTTTTACCCCCATTTATTTTTAAACCCACTTACTTCTATCTGTACCCATAAACCCAAAGTACTATTTGTATTTACTTTTAAACCCAAGAAGTAACATGGTATATACGTAAAGTGTATCTCGTAAAACCAAAAAAATTTCAAAACTACCCTTTTGCCTTCTCCCAAATATCCCATCCTGCCCATCTCAAGTTGGAGTTCAATACATCACCGTTGAGAAGAAGCAATTTTCGCGCCTTTTTCTCCTCCCACCCTTCAACTCAGGTACCTAGGGGACATCTCTCCCCTATTTTATCTCTCATCTTTCTCCCTCCATTACTTTTCCCAAACTGCTCTCTCCTTATAAAACACATTATAGAAACTGGTTTAAATCTTGTTAATCCCTAAAAATTTAAGAAGGTTATTGGGTTGTTGAAATCAAGAGATGAGTTCATTAGGATCGTTGTAAGCAAGAAAGTAGCTCAGTCAGTTGAAAATGTCAGAGGAGAGTTACTTCATTTTTTGAAATCTCTTTTTTCTTTAAAAGCTCTGTAATTACAGCAAAAAATTTGTTTCAAATTGAGATCAAGCTCCAGCTTCAACCTTCAATTTGAAGATTTGGGGTACTTTTAAGTAGAAACACCACTTCAAGGGCTCATGAGCACCGTCCCAAGGTCGAACAAGATCCTCGAACAAAGAATTAGGGTTTCAGAAAATGATTTGGTGAGCATCTTCGGTGGAGAACTCCGATTTATGGCTTGATTCACTCCTGTGAATTTTGGGCTCCCAAGCTATTACAAAGACATGGGTTTTGAAAAAGAACCTGGTGCTATTTTGAGGGAATGGAGGGGTACTTTAGGTATGTCATGTTTAAAAATACATTACGGATGAAGAATATATTGTGTCTCTCATTTTGGGCTTAAAGATAAAAGTGTGAAAGTACTTTGGGCTTATTCGTGTAGAAAAAAGTAAGTGGATTTAAAGATAAATCAGCGTAGAAGTTTTGGTTTAAAAGCAAAAACCCCTTAATTATATTCCCCCTATGTTCAATCAGTAGAGCCGAGTAAAATTAAGAACCAAAACTAGAATGTAGTTTTCAGAAACATGACCTTGTAAAACTCTAAGTCTTTCCCATGTATTAGCATCCATTGGGATGGCACCGAGGTTTAAAAGAACTTTCCAAACTGCCCTTGAGGAAGACGGTGACAATAAAAATGAAAACCCATCTCTGCACAGAACACTTCCTACACCAATTGTTACTGGCATCCCATCCACCTTCAACACAAATGAAAAACTTCTACTTATAAACACTATTTACGATTAAAGAACATCATATTTAAAGCAAACATTAACCTATGTGCATTATACACACTGGTAAAAATAGAAGGCAAGCGGTTAGTCCACAAATCATAATTTGTTTAAATTGATAGGTCATAATAATTGATCTTACCTCTATATGAGGATTGAATATTTTTATTTCTTCGAGAAGATAAGTTAAATGAGTAGCCCTTGTGACCCAATGGTGAGCTAACTGTGCTTGATAAGATGGCAGTATTAACTTTGTAACTTAACTTTTTACGCAATTAATTTGTACTTTATGCTTGAGAATATCTTAAATAACAAAACTAAATGTGCACTGCACTTCAGAGAGCCACCAATTTTTTTATTATACAAATGTGAAAGTTTTACGATAGATAATATTGCAATGACTAGAAAACTCAATTTGCAATTCAATTACAACCAAAAACAGGACAACACACTTATTAGGAATCAAATTTATTATAACTAATAATTATAACATTATTAAAGGAATATCTTCATTTACATGATCAAGTATCTTTGCATTTACCACAGTATCGTGATTAGATCTGGGACATGTTAATTCCAAAGCTGAATCCAATGTCCAGGTATTCTAACTTTTGGCTATAATAGCTTACTTGAGGATCGATATGTGACACTACTAGCGACCTGTTTTTAGAAAGAATGTGAATCATTTGAATTGACATTTTTCCATTGCTTGGTGATAGCGATGTTTGTTTTTAGCAAGAAATGGAACCAGTAAAATTGATCATTTTTCTGCTTAGTACTAGCGATGTATGTTTTAGCAAAAAAGAGAATCAGCTAAATAGATCTGTTTTCCATTGCTTAGTACGTCGTAAAAAATTCACATAACCCATGTTGCTTGATATAACCCTAACATAGAACTGGGTATGTTGGGGAAGAACTCCTCAATGGTCCAATAAAAGATACATGTTTACACATTTTTACCGTGAGTAATTTTCTGCCAAAAAGATGACTGTTCTTTCATTCTCTGTATGGTTTTCTCAAGATAATTTAGGATGAGGAATTCTCTGTATGTATTTGCATGTGCCATGATTTCTTATGGTGCTTAATATTTTCTAGGGTTATAAATCTGAGGTTTTATACCGCTTGAAATATTTTTAGTCCATATTTTGGGGATCACTCTTCCACTTTTTTCCCCCTTTTCCGTAGTGAAGGAAGGCTAACTAGGTGTATACTCTCTCCCTTGGAAGGATCTTCCTTATCTATCCTGTCCTTCTCCAACTTATCAGACATTCATACGAGATTATCATATGCCTTAGATTCGACTTCAACCGTTCTTTCATCTGTGATAACTTCCATTTGACAGCCATTAACATGGTATCTTTTTGCTGATCATTGTAAAATGTTTCTTTTCCTCTAATTACTTTCAGACTACTCATTTCCCCAGCAACTTCATGTAGAGGTTAGCCCACAATCTTTCAATTCTCCTATAATCTTTGTTGCAACTTTCAAGATACAACCAGCCGTGAATGCAACATGATATCAGTTTTTTCATCTATGCTCTATTTTCGCTCTAATATCACTTTATTCTCCCACAAATAGTTACCATCTGCCATGGAAAACATATACCTTGTCATTCTATGATATCCAATTGTGATAGAAAGCCATACTCCCCCAATGGCCAAACAAATTGAATAAGGACACAATGTGTGCCATCTATATATTTATATGTAAGTTTATGTAAGGACTAAGGACATAAAGAGTTCCCCCAATAAACTGGAAATTATTAAGTTGAATGGAAAGAAAATGTTTTTGTACATGTAGCACATGACAAAATTAATGAAAGAATAAAAAGCAGAAGAGCTAGATAAAATTTGCTGCTTACAGTATAATGTCGATGTGTACCATACGGCTTTCCAATAAGATCATCAAGTTTCAAAGCCTTCATTACCTATGAAAATCATAATATTCATTAAAAAGAAAATTATTTTTAAGAAATGGTAGACGATTAAAAATACACGTTAAGATAATGTATTTACCTCGTTACTTTTAGGTCCAACAAGAACAAAGAAGCAAGTCTGCTTACTGATGTCATGAACTTCTACTTTATCGGCATAGAATATATACCTAGATCCACCAGATAACCAACAAGATATGAGGAAATGGAACTTCTAAGTCCAAATATAGAAAAGAGTTTCTTTGCATATCATATTCATACATTATATTCATTTTGAAGTTGCTTGAACATGACAACAAACTACAAACTAAGTTCATAAGCATAAATTGCACGTTATGAAAGTTTCCAGTCTAAAGTTGAACAAATTATCAGAAAATCAAACTATAGCTTGGATACATACTACTTGAAAATCCTTTACCCACAAAGTAGAACTACAGAGGTAAACAAACATATTATGATTTATGGATATGGACACAAGGTATCAGATACAGAAAATGCCCAAAACGTGAACCCGAGGATACAACGATCCTTGTTGCTTTCTCATGACCTATGTTGCAGGGATACAGGTGCACGTACGGAAGCGGACACAGACATGGGTGTGGACATGGGACACAGCAAATTTGTAAAAGGTAGGATGGGGACATGGCTATGTACATAACATTAATAATTTGTATGAAATCGATATTGTTTTCATTCAAATATTATGAGAACTAAAATCCCTATACCATTTTTACATTCATTTATTGAGTAGATTATAAATCGAAATTGTTTGCTTATTTAAATAGATACTCAAACGACCATTTAAAATCATACTTATAAACTAGGTATGTGCTAAAACGAACCCGTCTAGAGTCCAATGAGTTGCATAAACTTGAGTTGAAGTGTACGATATACGTCCAAGAAGCATATCACAAGTTATTCAAACTAAAACATGTCTTGAGTACATGTCCTAATAAATGTATGTGTACATTCAAAAAGTGCCGAAGGAGTGACAGACATGGACATGGATACGGGAAGTGTCGGAAACGGATAAGTGAGCCTGGATGAAGTGTTTGGGTAACGTAGCTCATAACTATATATGACTCACATAATTCATGGTTGGTTGTTATTTACGAATCAACCTCCTAGCATGATATAGATAAACCAATTTGGTGATGCTTTGAGCAAATCTTGAAGTTTCTCAATAAGAAGGATGACTTAGTAATGATATGTAAACAACCGATATCTTATTGCTAGAAAGTAAACAGAAAAAGGTGTATAACTGTATATTGATGAATAGTAAGGGATCGAAAATGGAGATGAATTTTAGTATGTTGTATAAGTTTACAACACAGCAGTGTAGAGAGCATGTCGGTGAAAAAGAGAAGAAGCAAATTTTCAATGAGTTGATCATGAAATTCTAAGAAAGGTTAAGTTGCTTACTTCTGCAGCATCTCTGAGATGCTTATACCGGTAGAAGGCGACACAAGTAACATTATCGCATTTTTCTGAAAACAGAGAATATTTAGGTCTGTCAAGAAACTGTTTAAAAATGTGCTGATGACAAAACCACAGGGAAGGTCTACCATTATCCAAGCATGTGCAATATCAATAGTTCGGGCAGTTGGGGTAACAAAAACAGTGTCACATCCCTGAGTACACCAGGAGAATTTGAAGATTTTGAATCAGTAATATCATGGGGCTGAAGACATTAACAAATAGAAACTGAAAATAAAAAAGCATAATACCTCCCCTTCTGTGAGAGAATCAAACTTTGCTGTGGTTTGATTGTGCAGAAACTGACTCCGGTCATCCCCAGTAACTGAATATGCAGCCAAACCATAATGTCAAACAGTGTAATGACTGATCCAAAATTGAAACAACTCTTAAACAGGGAAAATATATTCACTTGCAACATGATTTTTAGTTAATGAAAAGGGAGATGAAATTATTAAGATTCTGATAAAGAAAATGCTTTCATAACAGGTAAGCATACCCTCATTACCACAGCAGAATAAACAGCAAAATATCATTAAATACTAAGGAAGATATGAAGATGCTATCATTCTGAAAAGAAGAATGCCTTAATGCAAATCACTACATAAGTGGTGATTTTTTCTTGCAAGTATCTTAGAAGATACATATTTGAGAAAACTGGAAAGTTAATGTAAAACGCTCTCTTTTTCTCTAATTACTTTCAGTCTACCCATGACCGTTTTCCCCCTGTGCCTGTTATTCATCACAAAATCTTGATTGTATCTTACTTCAACAGGATTAGCCAAAGTAGTAGTCTCAATAATGATGACAATAATGCCAGGTTCATGATGCTTGTTACAATATTATAGACATATATGGATTCCATTAATTAAGTAATACAGAAAGCACATAGCAACATAATATTACTATACTTTCAGATAACATTATAGTCTGAATGATGACTCATGATGTAAATTTGCAGCAGCCACGGATAGAGAAATTTTGTTACAAGAAAAATGTAGTCAACTAATATATGTTTCAAGACTTTGTTAAGAAGTATAGGATATAAATTAAAGTATGCAGTGACAACAAATGTAACTGATTGATGAATAATACCTCTGATTCGACCAAAACGCGTGAGGTCCGCAACCTAGATGATAGACATCATGAATGAAATTAAACTACGTATCATTGAAGATAATTGGAATGTGACCAAACAGAAAATGAAATCCAAGAAAACGGAGAACATAAGCCAACATCATAGGTCTTTGCATCAAACTCTTATATGAAGATGTACACCAGCTACTAAAGAATGCTAAAGCAGAACTACCAAGTGTAAGAACCCTGGGGTGAATAGAGTAATGGAGGTAATAAGGATATTTTTCTGGATTTTTCAAAATAATAGAATGATGAGCCAAGGATTTGAGGGTGATTTGTTTGTGAGATAGCTGGACAGATGAATGAGAATGTCCAGTGATAAGTATGGATCTTTCTTGAAGTGGCTGGTGGAAAGTTCCAGAGAATGTCTCCATAAAGAATATGAGCGATTAGCATCGAGATATTCCCCCAGTAAAGAATATGAGAGATTAACACCAAGATATTCCCTTAGTAGAGAATATGACAGATCAACACCAAGATAGATATAGGATAATAACAGGGAAGTTCCACGGAACTCTTCGAAAAAATATAGAAGAGAATAATCAGCGGAGAGAGTGTACAAAAGATATACAATGATGCATGTCTTCTTGAATTTTTCATTGAAAACCCTTCAGTCTCTCATCAGCTCAAATATAATAACCTCACGGAATATTCATTGTTTAAGGCCTTTTAAGTGTTACTAGGTTTTATGCACGTGCAATGCACGTGGTTAAATACCATGATTTAGTGTATTTGATTTATTTCCTTACTAAAATTTATTTCTTGGTTCTGTTTTATTGTTTTTGCTCACTTATATCTCTAAACTTTAGCATTGTGATTATTTATTTTCTTTGATTTTTGCTTAAATGAGCTAAACCCAATTTAAATTTTCATGCTAATAATTAAAGTGATGAGAAACAAACATAATCCGAAGCCAATTTGAATTATCATGTTATTTGGACCGACATAAAAACAAGCTTGACCTGAGAACGTATAGTGTTGTAAAAGTGAAAAATACTTCAAAAAATAGCATTATAAAAGGATGATGAATAATTAAAGCTAATAACACAATATGATTGTTTAGAAGTGGGCTAAAACAACACAAAAGAGAATATAGAATTTGTTCCTAATCCTTGATAGACTTTAAAAAAATCATAAACTAAAGATTAATCCTAACTCTAGCACAATTTTATATGATGAAAGCATCCACATAAGTATATAAAAGTACTAAAAAAAGTTTATGAAAATGCCTTCTAAATATTATTAATTTACTCCAAAAAATTAACTATTCTATAAAAGTATTTAGAAAACAGCGTCTTTCATTCCTTCTGTTTCATTTTTATTGAGCCGACATCAATATTTCTCCATCTTTATCTTTTTCGATAATATTAGACTATTTTTAGATACTGAAAAGGTATAGTAAACCTTAAATTAGAAGTAAAATTTATATATCTTTATGAAAAAGTATCAAACAATTACTCTTTTCTTCGCTAAGATTTGAAATTTTATACTTTTTTTTTATTTTGAGTTTTTGAGAGTGTGTTTTGAAATTTTTGAATCTTTAAGTGTTTTTTGAAAATTTTAAATTTTAAGTTGGGTGCTTGTAATTTCTATGTTTCATGCGTTGGTGATAAATTTTCCAATGACAGGATATGTTTTGTAACTCTAAAATTTTAAGGGTGTTTTTTGCAACTATTGGAACTTTAGATTGTTGTAAGATTCATTTTTTTCGCAGTCTAGTGATGATTTCTAAATTTGATATTCGCTGGTTATAAGTTTTGAAATTTCATAGTTTTCTGTTATTTTTAACTTTTGAAGGAATTTTTGAAATTTTATAACTTTGAGGTTAATTTTTTGCAAATTTTAAAATTTTAGGTGTCTGACGGTAAGCCCTTAAATTCATATTTTTATGGTTTGTAGGTTTTAAAATTTTAGAATTTTAGGGTGCTTTTTTTATTATTTGAACTTTTGAGGTGTTTTTACAAATTTTGAAACATTGAGGGTGTTAATTATAAATTTAAAATTCTTTGGGGGCTACTTTTAATTTTCAGATTTCATATTTGTTATTTTAAGTTTTAAAATGTCAGGATGTTTTGTATAATTTTAAAAATTTGAGGATATTTTGTGTAATTTTTAAAACTTTTTGGGGTTTTTGTAATACTTTATATATTATAGTATGTTAGTTCTTTACCTTAACAAATTAATACAGCGAAGTTGTTTCATGTATTTTATTAATCTTATTTTTTAAAATTATTGAGCTATAGGTAATTCACATGGGATTATAATATGATATAATTATGATTAGGATAGATTAATATTTAAATGAAATGTTCAAAATAGTTAAGGTTAATATTGACCATGAAAAACTTTTTTCTTACTCGTACTTTTAAAGGGAGTATAATATACAAAAATATGGAATTACTTCATCATTTTAACCTTTTTGGCTCTCTCTCTCTCTCAAATGTACAAAATTCTTCACTAATGGGATACTTAATTCAATAGGATTGTTTGTTTCAAAAAAGAGTAGTCTTTTTATAACGGGCTAAACTACCAGATTGGTATTTAAAATAGACTCACTTTACTGCTTTGATATTAAAAAAAACACTCCGGCAATATCTGGCTATTTAAAGTGCTTTTAGGTCCATATATAGGTCAATGTTGCTGATAGCGGACCGCGGCGCGTCGCGGCGAGGTACCGCTAAGGCTATATCAGGCTATTGCGGCGAAATCGCGACAAATAGCGCACAGTCAAATAGCGATCAAATTTAAATATATTTAAATATCCTAAATAATAAGAAAATTCATAAAAAAAATCTAAAAATTCAATTAGTTGTAAATTTCTTGTATTATCAGTAAATAACAATTAATAAGCTTGTTGTATGAATGAAACTATGAAGAAATTCAAGAAATATAGCATCATAATATGTGTGATAGCGGGTTTAGCGGGTTTAGCGCCGCTTTTAACCGCGAAAATCAGCTTTTAACCGCGAAAATCCGCTTTTAACCGCGAAAATCTGCTTTTAACCCGCGAAAACCCGCTTTTACACGTTATTCAAATGAATAGCGGATTTTCCCCATTAAGCTATCCGCGAAACCCCTACGCGTAGCGCTGAAGGGTCGCGACCGCTATTCACGCCGCTATAGCCCCGCTATTGGCCGCTATTTACAACACTGATATAGGTACATCTTTTAGTCAACTTTTATTTTTTTCAACAGTAAAATTTCTTTTCATCCCCTGATCTCTTAAAGTTATCGTATTTTACATCCTTCTTCATCTCAAACTCAAAATTTCATCTAGCCCTTTACCCAATAATACCTCCTTTCAACCTCTCTTTCTCTTTCATCAATGGATCCCCCTCCTCCTCCAACCTTACAATTCAAACCCAAAATACAATCTTGGAGAAATTTGGAGGCAAAAACACATGAATCTGAATGCGCATCACTTGTGCCGTCCAAAAGTATGGTATAAGGAAAAAAACTGTAGAAGATGCAGTTCATTCATTTATTGTCTTTGATGTTGTTATTCAGAAGTGTGTATGACGAGCTATTTGATATCGTGAAAGATTTATCTATTTTTTCTGTCTTTCCATCCTTTTTGTTCCTACAATCGTGAAGAACGATTTCACCGAGGACAACACAAAAAACATAAGGCTATTATGTCAAGCATATGTTAATATGTGATGACTGTGGTGGAGATTTGGTAAAATAAACATAGTCAATTCTTTCTACGAACAAATTGTGGTCCATTTATGCATATCAGATGTTAGCTTTTAAAATTGTGCTAACATTTCATATTATTTGTTTGATTATCTTCCAAGATATCTGAGCTGTGGATGGCATTGTTAGCTCAAATGAACTTCCTTTCAATACTAAAAGGGAAATTATTGAAAGCGATAATGTGAGTACATTTGAGAATCTCTCATAGGAAATTGTTTTCTTGTCACTTCAAATTTATAATCTATTCATTAATCCTTTCTTTATTGTCATTCCACTTTATCTTCATTTTAATCCATTATAAGAAAAAAAATTAGTTCACAATCAGTCGGACAAGATACTGGGCATTTTTCTCAGCAAGAATAGATTGGTATTTTAAATAGCCACAAAAATTGTAATTTGAATTTGACTTGTAAGAGGTTGAAGGAGGTGGCTCCATTAATGAGAGAGAAAGAGAACTTGAAGGAGGGTATTATTAGGTAAGAGCTAGAAGAAATTTGAGTGTGGGAAGAAGGATGACAAGGAGTAAAATGCAATTAACTTTAAAATGTCAAGGGGTGGGAAGAAATTTTCCCACCGGAAAATAAACACCAATGAGAATTTGTACATATATGCGAACTTAAACACACTTTAAATAACCAAACTTCGTCAGAGCGTTTTTAAATACCAAAGAGATAAATTGGGTCTATTTTGAATACCAATCTGGTAGTTTACCCTTTTATAATTTTGAATACCAATCTGGTAGTTTACCCTTTTATAATGTGAAGTTGCGAACACAAGGACTTTTGAGCCAATATTTGAAACATTTTTTATTCCCATATTGTGCTGATTTTTCTTTGGTTGATGGTCACTTTTCTATGTCTAACCATTTTGTCTCTTGAGCTTATGTAAACGATGAGATTCAGACATTGTCCTATCTACATCAACGTCATTTACTAAGGTAATAATGATGCGCGTCTTCTTGAATTTCTTATTCAAATACCTCACAACTCTCGTGAGAAACTCTCTCACGTGTACCAAATTCTTCACCCATAGATTATTTAATTCAATTGGATTGTTTATTTCAAAATAATAGTTGTCTTTCTGTAATATGAACACAATGACCTCTGAGAAAACATTTGAAATGTTTTTTATTCTCACCTTGTACTCATTTTTCTTTGTTTGATAGTTGTAGGTTGCTCAAATTGTGCAAGTTATCAACATGGTTTTTGGCACAAGAAGATATTGCTTTGAGATAAAGTTGAAAGCTAATTTTGGCAATTGCTCTTCTATTTTTTTGGTGGTTGGAATGATTAAAAGGGCAAGAGACTTTACATAGTCAAGATCTCCAATGGGGCTTAGACAAGTCCATTAGAGCGAGCTGCTAAAAATAGGAAATATAATATAACCGTGGAGAACCGTTAAACAAAGAAAAATGAGCACAAGGTGCAAATAAAGAATATTTCAAATGTTGGCTCAAAAGTCATTGTGTTTACATTATAAAAAGACTGCTCTCTTTTGGAATAAACAATCCCATTGAATTAATTTCATGGGTGAAGAATTTTTTCCATGAAAAAGAGCCAGAAAAGGTCAAAGTAATGATGTCATCCTATATATCTTATGTATAATACTTCAAAAGGCATAAACAATTAATAGGATGGTAAACATTATATTTGAGCAAATGAGAGATGGGAGGGGTTTGAATAAAAAAATTCAAGAAGACATGCATCATTACTATCTTAGTTAAAGATGATGATTTATATAGGACAATGTTTGAATCTCATATGTTTATAAACTCAAGAGATAAAATGCTCAGACATAGAGAAGTAACCATTAACAGCTCCTAAATTAATCAAGTGTGCTGCCGTAAACCCATGCGTCCGTGTGGGTTGCAGCTTTATAAACAAAATACTCGTTGTCTCAAGTTGCTTGCAATTTCATAAGTATTTGCAAATTTTTCAATGTTGGGGGTAAGCATATTTGTCATAGAGAAGATTTGTGGGAAGATCTACTGGAGAATCTATGGGAAGATCAAATGGAAGGTCTAGTCAAAAGAATATGAAGAATTAGTGTCATTAATCTATTCTTACTTTATTATTAGTAAACTTTACAAATTTACCTAAAATCCACAACATAGAGACTTCATTAGCTTCTACTCTAGCTGAGATTCTCAAAGCTCTCATGCAAGTATTGTTACTAATGAAACAAAATCAATATGTACTAACATTATGTTTAAGTGTTCTACATTTCAGATAGTACACAGATGACAAATGAATGTTCATGAGCTAGGCAATGCAAAATTAATCTTGAAGCAAAGCAAACAAAGCAAGCAAGCAAATAAGCAAAATTTTTATCTAAGTTCAAGACCAAGAGGACATGAATGAAAGCTTTGGGAATCTCGACTAGATTAAAAACTAATGAAGTTTAAGAAGCTAGCAACACTACACCACTCTTCTCACCCTAAAGAGTTCACACCTCTTACAAAGGGAATTTCCAGATGTTCTCTCAGGAGGGTTATTGGTTGGCGTAATTTTGGGATAAGTGGGATAATTTTTAGGATTTTACTTTATAGTGTTATTCATTGGGACAATGAGATTGGAATTTCACTTTAATGTGTTATTCATTGGGACAATGAGATTGGGATAATTACCCTCACTTTTTCCAAAATTATCCTACTTCTATACAAACTTTTTGTCTCAACCTCCAAAAATTACCCCATTCTTAACTTTGGGATAATCATGAGGAAAGTGGGATAATTTTGAAGCACTAATTTATTAAATATCTAATATATGTTAATTGTATTATAATATATAATATATCTTAATTATATTTATATTATAAAATTCTATTATAACGTAAGATAATAAAATATTATATAATATTATCTAATATAACATTATTATATATCATTATTACATATTGGTTAATAATAATTCATATATTATAATATTAATATTATATTATTATAATATTACTTTATATTATTTAGTATATATTTTATTAGTTAGAATAAAAAAAAAAATTTTTAATTATAGGTATTTTTATGTTATATAATATTGTATTATAATATTGTGTTTATATATTTAATATAATAATATATTAATTATATTATAATATAATTTATTATATACCAATTTACTATTATCTATTATACTTTATTATATTAATTAATAGTCTTAAATATATTGTCGATATTATGGTAGTTATAATATTAAACAATATTTTATTACTACAATAAATATTATAATAAATTACTATATATTAAAGTATGATAATATATATAATTAATATATTATAGTATATTATTTAATAATATTTTTTAATTAATAATATTGAACATATTAATAGTATATTATGATTATTATAAATATTATATTTTAATAAGGAGCCATGTTATCAATTATTCTATTTAAATTATAGTAATTATCATAAAATAAAATATTATATTATACTTTTAATAATAGTTTCATATTTTAAATAATATTATATTGAATTAAACAAAATATTATAATATTTGATTAAATATTATATTATTGAAATATTATATTAAATATATTGCTTTTTATATTATATCAATTATTATATAATATATCATATTATTATAATATATTATATTAAATTAATTAATAACATTAAATATAGTTATAATTAATTAGTATTATAATATAATATATTACAGTTTAGTATAAAGTAAAATAATGTATTACATTATAATAACATACCAAACAATATGCTAAACCAATTAGGTAAATTAATTTAGACTTAATTGATAGATAAATATTGTACTTTAATAATGTGTCACATTATCAATTATCCCACATAAATTGTCAAATCAAAGCTTCAAATTGTCCCATTATCCTAAATTATCTCACTTTACACCACTCAAAAATATCCCAAAGAGATAAAATTGTTCCATTGGAACAATTATCCCACTTAGCCCCAACTTGTCCCAAGCAATAAGCCCTCATCAATACAATAGATGAGAACTCAATTACACTCAATACGATAGCAAGCTCGCTCGATTACACTTTGCGAGGCTCTAATAGCTTGCTCAGCTTAAAGTAAGATGTGATTTATTAGCACTTATAATTTTCGACACAAGAAGAGAGAGCTTTGAAGATAGAACAAATTTGTAGGCTTATTTTGGCAATTGCCCTTCTATTTATTCATGGTCAGAATGCTTGAAATGATCTTTCTTGAAGTGGCTAGTGGAAAGTTTTAGGGAGAGTCTCAGCAAGAATATGAGTGATCATGAGTGATTAACACTGAGACAAATCTTGGATAATAACAAGGAAGTTCCAAAGAGCTTTTCGAGAATATACACAAAAAGAATAATTAGCACAGAAAGTGTACACAAGATATATAAGCTAGTTCACCTCTAAACAGGGCTACATCCTCCTACCTAGCACCTCAACTAGGATTTACCCAAATCCACTATATGTGGACTTACACCTGAAGTTCTAGGACCACAACACAAACACTATCATGCTTGACAACCTCAAACTAGCAGCATAGCATTACACTATTCACACCCAAAAGAGTTTACTCCTTTTACAAAGGGAGTTGCAGATGTTTTCTCAATACAACAGATGAGTAACTCAATTGCACTCGACACAATGGCAAGCTTGCTCAATTACACTTTGAGGCTCTAATAGTTTGCTAAGCTTAAAGTAAGAAGTGATTTATTGACAGTTGAAATTTTTTGAAACAAGAAGAGATAGCTTTGAAGATAGAGTAAATTTGTAGGCTTATTTTGGCAATTGCTCTTCTATTTATTTGTGATTGGAATGCTTGAAATGGATCTTTCTTGAGATGGCTGGTGGAAAGTTCCAGGGAATGACTCAGTAAGAATACGAGCGATTAACAGTAAGAATATGAGTGACTAACACTGAGACAGACATGGGATAATCATAAGGAAGGTCTAAGGAGCTCTTCGAAAATATACACAAAAAGAATAATCAGCAGAGTGTACACAAGATATATAAATTGGCTCACCCCTAAATACGGCACCTAAACTAGGATTTTCCCACATCCATTATACTTGAATTTCCACCTGAAGTTCCTGGATTACAACACACACTACCATACTTGACAACCTCAAGTAGCAGCACTACACCACTCTTCACATCCTGAAGAGTTTACTCTATTTACAAAGGAAATATCAAGATATTCTCTCAATACAACATATGAGAACTCAACTACGCTCAATACGATAGCAAGCCCACTCAATTACACTTTGAGGTTCTAATACTTGTTAAGCTTAAAGTAAGATGTGATTTAATGGCACTTACAACCAAAAAATGTAATGAAATCAGATAAGAATGTGCATATGAAATGTTAAAGGAAATTATCAACTTTCTTTATATGACACCTTCTCACACATGGATTGAACCAAAACATATAAGGGTTTCTGATCAAGAAATTTGGTCACTCACACAATCAGTCACCTGTCTACTTTGTGCTTAAATGTAAGAAGCCTTGTACCAAATAAGAAAAGGTAGACAGAGCTCTAGAATCTAGGGGATGCATGATTCGCAGAATAATATATAGAAAATTGTATGAGGGATTAGAGTTGGGATATGAACAGAAATAAGGCTAAAATGTTCAGATGAACGAATGCCAGCTCTATCGGAGAAAAACAGCAAATATGAATTAATTACAAGACTGTAGACAGATCAATTGCACTGGGATAATATGACATTGATGGCTAGTAAAGGAGAGGTATTGACATGTGCGTATTGTCAGTATTCTCAAATCCTTGCCCCATTGTACTGTCCATGCTATTAGGGGAAGATTTTTGCTTCAGCAGAGAAAAACTCGTCATGACTTAATTACAAAATATCAATTTTTCTAAACATGATACTGTCAGAAACCCTAAAACATACCAATGTTATTGCTTTCTTTGAAACAACTCATTGAATAAATTAATGATCACAAGGAAGCACATGATCAAGAAACTATGACCTCAATGCAACAAAACTAACCCAACAGTTACCCTTGTCTAATATCTATTAGATGCTTTAATTTCCAAGTTCCAAGCAACAAATGAATCTCTAGAAGAATGATACCGATAAAAATTAATGATGGACATATTGCAAGAAAGGAAAACAACTTACTGCAACTCCACTAAGTGCTGCGCTGATAGCAAGATCATTAGTTACGGACTGTTCTGCATAACTTCCAGTTTCTACTCCTACAGTCGTCATGAGTTCCTGGGAGATATCAAAAAGGAAAATATAAAACAGAAAATCTGTATCCTATAAGCAGAAACTAGATAAGGTAGAACTTATGAATAACAGTACAAGTGTAGATATGGCAAAGAATAAGCTATTTATATGTGCAGGTTGAACTACGACAATTGGAATTCCACAATAAAGTATATACATACTAAACAAGAAGTAGACTGCGAGAAATAAACAAGTATAAGTCACTATATTGGGCAACAGAATGACAGATTAATGTCAATTTTAGATTTCACTTTGAACATTAAAGAGGAAAAAAATCACAATTAAGCTTTCACATTAAAATCCTAATATGTTAATTAATCAAAAATGTTGAAATGACTTTAGTCCTAACCAAATCAATCTGAGCCAGCCGACATAGTAATATCAAAGGCAGGCACTTCAGAAACTTCCATTATGAACTAAGAAATCTTTAAAGCAACAAACACAATTTTTCTAAAGCATATATCACAAATGGTATATAAGTTGCCATAGTTAACAGCAAAGCAGCGATATGATAAGAATTGCATAAGATATAATCTGCTTGACACAAAACCACTTCAAGGATACCTGTAAATCATATTGATACATTCTTTAATGCAATTTATCATACATTGACCTATACCAGTTCTTTGTTATAAGAGCTATGCAAAAAAATTATTTTGTCTTCTCTCCTAGTCAAAGCTTCACACTTCTGGTCAGCTTCTCTCCTACCGAAGGATGTCACCCAGTGTTACTTTTGTCCATAGTATTTGAATCTAAACATTTACATTTTTTCATAAAAAATGTACATGTTTTATGACTTTTTTACTTATTTCGAGACACCAAATGTTGGCCTGCTTGATGCTAGAGAGACTACATGAGATTTATCAGTGCCAATAAAGTAAATTGTACGGATCTTACAGTTCATAAGTGGAATTAAAAACAAGTTCTACTGAACTTGCCGATTCAACCCACACTTCAGTTACCAAGAGAGCATGGTGTAGCAGTTTAACCGTTTCGAACTCTGTGACTAAGAAATCATAAATTAAAAAGTAATAGCACTTCCGCCTTGTATCTGTCTTTAGGATATCACATTTGTTGGACAAATTTTCAAAACCAACCCATTTGAGTTTTTATTTGCAAAAAACGACCCGTTTCTAGGATATTTGCAAAAACCGACCTGGTTTCAGCGTCAGCACTGAAACCAGGTCGGTTTTGAAAAAAAAATTCCGAAACTTCACGGGAGTTGAACTCCCGTGAAGTTTACCAGCTTTTAATTAATCTACTAAACTTCACGGGAGTTCAACTCCCGTGAAGTTTCTTAGTTCAAAAATAAATTTTTTGAATTGTGAAACTTCACAGGAGTTGAACTCCCGTGAAGTTTAGCAGCTTAATTAAAAGCTGGTAAGCTTCACGGGAGTTCAACTCCCGTGAAGTTTCGAATTTAAAAAAAAAAACCGACCTGGTTTCAGCGCAGAGGCTGAAACCAGGTCGGTTTTTGCAAATTTGTTTGAATGGGGTCGTTTTTTGACAATAAATTCCTAAATGGGTTGGTTTTGAAAATTTGTCCCACATTTGTTTGTGATTCCTAGTTGAGTAAGGGCTCTCGTGATTTCTTTCCGAAAGAGAAATATATTTGTGATATCTAGGTCAAAAGGGATTCTATTTCAATTCCTGAAGAGATTCATATAAAGAGGATAATTATTCTCAAGGGTTTCTTAAATTTTTGGAAGGTATACTAGAAATTCAGTATTTAAATTTGTTGGTAAAAATTTTTCCAATGCTTCGTCTTGTGTACTTCTTTAATCTGGTTTCAACATAAAAAAGATTGCAACTTTCTCAGTGGCCTTTGTCGACGTGCTTTATTAACATGAAATTAGAACTATTTCCATGAATTGAAGCCCTAGACGTCTTCTCCAATACTAAAGATGTTTCCATTTTTAAATAGAAAGCCCAAAATATAAAAATGAAATTATAAAAAAAAAGGGAATAGAGTTGACTTACGAGGGGATCAGCGTCGTGGTCAATTGGAGGAGGAGACAGATCGAAGTCAAAGGGCGACGGAGCTGAGGCTGCGATTGGAGGCGGAGGAGCTCGCCGTAGAGGAACATCGCTTCGATTCTTGAGAGAGTGAAATCGGAGGGATCGCCGTCGTGTGTCGCCGGCGGACGTGGCGGGCGATATGAAAACGCAGTGGGGCCTGCTAGAAAGGGCTCAGAATGCATAGCAGCCATGTGGATAAGAATTAGATTATTAAAACGTCTATATTAGAGCATGTTTGGCAATTAGTTATTCAAAAATTTCTCCAGGCCCATCAACAGGGGTGACAAGTAAAGTGTCTCACTTTTATTGTATAATGAGTTAGTTATCATTCTGTCTTTTCTGTTGCTCTCATATTTTGGGTCATTGTATCAAAGCTCTGTTTGGTAAATTCCTTATATTATAAGAATATAAAAAAAAAAATAAGTAAGGTATTTGGTAAATCTCTTAACTTATAATAGGGATACTTGAGTAGTTATGTGTTTGTGGTAAACTAATAGCTTATAAGGTTAAAAAGGACATATTAATGTATCTCATATTGTGTCAAATTAATTCATTATTATATTAGTAGATAATTATAATTACTCTTAGTAAATTCATTAGTTAATTAACTAGGTAATTAAGAAAAAATTAGTTATTTCACGTTAATTATGATTATTAATTAATAATTTTGAGATTAATTAATTAATATCATATTAATCAAATTTTGTTATTAATTAAAAATTATTTATCTCATAATTAGAAACATACTTGATTAAAATATTTCTATATATCACATTATTTATGGTAGTTAATTAATAATTTAAATTAATTAATTAATTTCACATTAATAAATAATAGCCATTAATAAATTTATTAATTAATTAATGCTTACTATTCTATAATAATAAAATTTTTAATTGAAATATATTTGTTACATATCATATATATATTTATGTCACATTATTTACTGTTATTAATATGTTCACACTATTATTATTTAATATTAATCATGATTATTAATTAATAACATTAAGATTAATTAATTAATTTCATATTAATCAAATATCATTAATAAAAAATAATTAATTACCTCATCATTAATAATAAAAAATTTAATTAATTAACTCATAATAAAAAATATATTTGATTAAAATACCTCTATATATTACATTCTTTGTGGTTATTAATTACTAATATTGATATTAATTAATTAATCTCATATTAATAAAATAAGTACTATTAATTAATTAATAACAACTGCTCTATAATAATAAGATATTTAACTAAAGTATAGTTTATATATATTATATATTTTTTTATATATCAATCAACTCTATAATAATAAAATATTTAATTAAAAAACTTATATATTATATATTTTTTTATATATCATTATTATTTATTCCTACAATTTACTTTAATATTGGCACTGTTTAAATTAATTTCCATATTAGGAGAATTCGTTATTTTAGAATGTTTAAGGGGACTTGGAAGCGGTAGATTTAGGCCTTTTGGCATGAAAGAAAGTAAAACTCCTTATGGCGGGGGATGCTCTTGCTCAACCAACAA